CAACATCCATATCTCATGTAATATGCAAGAACAATATCTTTTTCTTTGAATCGGCATACGTTAAGTATTGTTGACGCTATTTCCACTTGAGTGAGGAAATATCATCATTTACTTTATTTCCAAATTTTTGTTGACTTTATTTCGCTTTTGAAAAGGTGGCCTTATTTCCGTTGGTCTTGTTACCTGTCACCATGCACATACGTCTTCCGCTGAGCCAGAGGGCTTATATATAGGTCTCAAACATACGCACGCATTTTCCAATATGTGAAGAGTACAGACAGCCAAGCTTATTCTAGAATTTCAGCTCCCGCTTGCCCTTCTCTTTTTGAAAAGTAATTAAAAAATAGCTCTCCGTAAAGGCTCCCTGTAGCAACTCAATTACGGATGGACAGCACGATGCAGTGGTACATCATCGAAGGCATTTGGGAAGGCATATATGTAGGGCTGCCAGATATCTCTGTTGCCAACCTGGGACACTTAAGGGTGAGAAAGGCCTCTCGCTCCCTTCCCTTTCGTTTCGACAAAAATTACGTACGTAGTAAAATTTTATTTTGACAAACAAAAACAAAAACATAAAAACTTGGGATCATGAGATCATTACAACTTATACCAGCAAAACAAAATAATTTATCACAACTAAAGCACAGAGAATTTTTCACAATGCATGTACGTTTTTTGTTCCTTATAAAAATACAGTTTATACCAAATACATCGGAAAACATAAAAATAAAATTTCTAAATTTTGTGCAAAACTCGGGAAAATTTAACAAATTTGCATACAAATTCGCAACTTTCTATTCAGACTTTTTTATACAAATTTTGAAAATGAAGTTTTGCAGGCCATACAAATTTAGTTGATTTTTGGTATTGGTATTTACTGATAGTTTCTTCCATACAAACTAAATAAAATAAATAATTGCAAAAAATCAACGAAATTTTCTGATAACTTCAGACTTGCAGTTTACTAATTGGCTCAAAAGCTACATTTTCAAAATTTTTCTAAAAGATCTGATTAGAAATTGTGATCTGATGAAAGAGTCTCCGAGCCAATAATTTTGTACGGCACGGTACTTATAAGTAATCTAGGTTTCACGAAAAAAAAAAAAATAAATACAAGGTAACATTAAAATATCAGTCATTTGTTTCGTTGCTGTGAGCTTGTTTCAAAACTTCTGGCTTTTGCTATAATTGTAAAACTCTGTGCATGTCATTTTAACGTATTTAGGTACATACTTATATTAATCATCAACTATTGCTTATGCAAAACGTGCTACATTTAAAAAAAAAAATCGCATATGAAAGAGCACCAACCCAACTCGTAATAAATTAAAGTATACAACTTTTAGTATTTAGTATAGAATTATTCAATTAAAATACGCCAATATTAAAATGAAGCGATTTGCACTTAACGGATGCTTTTTCATAATTAAGTTAAACAAAAAATTTAAATTCCATGCTGCCTGTAATGGGATTTGAAGCCCGACGCTCTGGAAATTAGCAAATTGTGGCAAGCATCTTCGTGCACTCAGCTACAGCCAGACATGTAAATGTGCATTCAAAAGTTCAGTTTGATTCAACACCACGTGGTATGAAAGTATTGTTTTTAAATACGAACATTTTAAAACGATAATCAAATAAAAAATATTCATGTATTTTCGCGAACGTTCATATATGAATTTTTCCGAGCCCTGGATACAAGATCGCATGATCATGCATGAGGGCGTCAGACAAACTTAACCCCATCATTCGTTTAGACATCTGAAAACTAAATTCGTATAACTTAAACATAGGGCCAAAGCAGACCAACCACACGGGGTTTCTATACATTTTGGCTGCAGCGCCATGCANGGTAACAGAATGAAGCTATCTGTGCTCGTGTGCAAATTCCCAAGCTTCCAATCGGAGATCAACGCCATAAATCGGTGTCCAGAGAATAACTTATGTACGTACAGATTACCATACAGAGAAAATTCGAATCATTACAGTTGATCAGGTGGCAGTTATAGCACTAATATCTTTCGAGGTTAAATCATCCTTAGCCCTTGAGTGTATTTGAAACGCTGCACACAATAATATCGCGCTACTGTAGGTACCTGGTTACAAGGGAAAACAGGGGAATGATGCATTGAACAGCTCAGCAAGAATTGCGGCGGTCCCAGCTTCCGGAATTTTTTTTCAGTAGGTCTAAACACAAATAAGGAAGAGTTTAGGAATGGAACAATAAAAGAGAGAATAACACAACATAGTACAATAGGGCTTCGTCAAGCCAAATCTCACTGGGGAGGTACAATCATTACAGGCATTCTCACTGGACACTTCGGGCTAAGAATTCTGTCGTTGCAGCGACTCGCCTAAAAAGACACCATTGCATCTGCTCCTACAATATGAGGCCATATCGAGGCGACGAATGAATAGCAATGTCTCAGTGTGTCCATAGAGGGAGCCCATTGACTCCTTTACCAAAGGAATAAATAATATGTTGATGACTGGAAGGTAAAATGGAATCACTGGGTCGCTGTGCATAACCCTTTTTAAATATATATCTATCTATGTACATAAGCACCTCTTCACATATCCTCTCAACAACTCAAACCAACTCATCTACCAATTCTGCGACTCCGTCGAAACTGCTGCATTCCCGAGCCTACCGATAGATGAGATGCTGAAACATTTGAGGCACGCAGAAGTAGCATACCTAACGGAGGTACTCAACCTGTCAATTGGCACTCTCATCATTTCTGATGAGTTGAAATCAGGGAGAGTTGTCGCACTACTGAAACAGGAGAGACCCGCCAACAAAGGACACTCTTATCGCCCGATAACGCTCCTTTCCCCGGTCGGGAAGACACTAGAGGCCCTACTTCACCTAGCACCTGACGCCAGCATGGTTTCGGTAAAATGCACAGCACAACAACAGCACTTAACGCCATAAACTCCCAAATACCTCGTGGCCTAAACCGCAACCGCCCCTGTGAGAGAACAGTCCTAGTAGCGTTGGACTTGTCAAAGGCGTTTGACACCGTCTGCGGTTCCAAGCAACTAGAATACATTGACGCCTCCTCTCTCTCACCGACACTCAAACGGTGGTCGGCGAATTATATGAGTGGTCGACAGTCGTCAGTAATCGTCCGATATCAAATCTCGAAACCTATAATAAAACAAGGAAATTTTCCTAAATGGAACATATGTATGTAATATATCAGCAAAAAGTACAGCCGTGATCATTTTTTGTGTATCAAATAGATATTAGAACACACTTTCCACCATACAGTTTCGATTATAAAAAAGCGGGAAAGTGTGATTTTGTAATATCTATTTGATACACAAAAAATGATCACGGCTGTACTTTTTGCTGATATATTACATACATATGTTGTAGTATGTACCACAAAAACGTATATTTTCTATAAAAAATCATAACTCAGAAAAAAAAATCTTCGCTATTAGGCATTTGGGTTGATTGTAGTTCAAAGTGTCTCTTTCTGGTAAAAAAGTTTGAGAGAAAAAAAAAATACACTTTTTGAGAAATTCAATTTAAAAAAAAATTTGCCCTTTTTGTTTATTGTCTATTTATTAAATTTTGACAAAGTTATGGGCATTTTAAAAAAACATTCTAACTGTCAATTCGAATAATCGATTTTTGCCTGAAAAACAAAATCGCGTTTAATTCGGCCGAAAAATTTGTCCGAGCCAAAAGAAAAAATACGTGTCTCATTATTTGGACCAACAAACAATGTATTTGAGTTTGGTCGAAATTAAAAATCATGCTCGTACCTCACCGGTTGTCTGGAAATGGAAAGCATCACTGATTTAGGCCGGGTTTATTAAGCTGACACAACAACTATATACAGTGCCAGACAAAAGTATTGGCACAGAAAATTTTTCGCAATATATGCAAAGATTTTTATTCTAATTTATTATCAATATTTTTAATAAAAATATAGTTCGTACTTCACCAAAAAAACATAAAAACAAAATCTCTAAACTTTGTACAAAACTCAGGAAAATTCAATAAATTTGCATACTAATTTTCAACTTCTTATTCAGATTTTTTAGAGAAATTCTAAGTATGTAGTTTTATAGCCCAACAAATTTTAGTATAACAAAGTGCAAGTTTGAAGTATCTAAAAAATTGCGTTGATTTTTGGACATTTTTTTAGTAGAAGGTGTTGCTCATTTTCTCCATACAAAAAATAATTGTACGGAAGAACCTAACTGAAAAAAATTGCCAAAAATCAATGCGATTTTTTAGCACCTTCAAGCTTGCACTTTGTTATACTAAAATTAGTTGAGCTATAAAACTGCATACTTAGAATTTTTATAAAAAATCTGAATAGAAAGTTGCAAATAAGTATGCAAATTTATTGAATTTTCCTGAGTTTTGCTCAAAATTTAGAGATTTAGTTTTTATGTTTTTTGGTGTAGGACGAACTATATATTTATAAAAAAATTATCGACAATAAATTAGAATAAAAAACTTTTCAGATATTGCGAAAAATTTTCTGTGCCAATACTTTTATCCGACACTGTATATAAACGATATAAAAATTAAAATCAATTTCGATAAAATACCAAGCGGAATTCCACGCTGATTTTCATTTTGGAGGTATATTTGCAGACCCTAAGTCCCAGTTACGAGTAATTACTGTTTTTTTTTTGTGATTTTTATTTTAGCAGAACAGTTTTGAATATTCATTTTTACAAACTTGGAAATGAATTTTCAAGTTCCGACTGCTAATTTAAATAGAAATGTAAATGCAATAATTGTATAGTATATCATACTAGGAGAAACTCAATTGTTTACTATATCTAAAGTAATTTTAAAACGGTAAACACAACTTTATTAACTCTTAATTTTATACATTTAAATTTAATTAGCATTACTTTAAAATTTGCACTAAAGGTTTAATACATATATTTAAGTCGTATAGCTTAATAGCATAACTTATCTTAATTGTTTAACTTAAGTACACAAATGAAGTTCATTAAAAAAATTATTTATGCTAATGGCGTTTTCTTTTCCCGAAAAAAAATTCACCTTCTTACATATATGGCAACATCATCAGAGTGCCACATTTTAAAGAAAGAGCACGCAATATGCATGCGAAGACACTGAGAAAAGAACACGAAAACTTTACAGCCCTGGCGCAGGGCAGAATAAATGCAACATTACTTTCAGAAAAGAAAACGCTACAAAATTTAATTAGTACTCGAAAATAAAAAGCAACTCAGTAAATGGCAACATTTTGATACGTTTTAAATAGTAGCCTTAACAAGAACCAATGAATTGTTTGTGTTTAGCACGAAGGCAATGCTAAAATTTGATTGTACATATCTTCAAAATCTAATTTCAAAGCCATTATGTATTTCTTATCAATCGCTGTACATCTACTAAGCGTCACACCCACAGGTGGACTTGACGTAATCGCTGTCGCATCTGCTATATCAACAAACTACACTTACACGTAATTACTCCTTATCGCTGCTCTGGAATGTTATGTTTTTTTGTTATTGTTATCGTATACTAAAGCACTTAAATTTAAATGTCGAATTTTTAACAATCTTCACCCTTTTGTGTACTTATGGCATAATAGCATTAAAATGGCAGCAGAGTTAAGCGCTCAAAGTCTCAGCAGTCGGCACACCCTTTGCCACAGCTGGTTGTTGCTGTGCTTCATATATAGCCCACAATTGTCGCGTTCCTTGCTTATCGTTCGCTTTCAATTAAGTTTCAATTTTCATGCGCCAAAATTAAACATTATGGGAACCGTCCTCACGATTCTCGTATGCCCAGAATTTGTGAAATTCTATTAAGATGGAGACAACAGTTTCTGCTTGTCCACTGCAATGACAATGAAAATGCGGGTGAATGTGCACATAAAGGAATATTAAAGTTTAATTAGTACATAGAACTACTGCGCTGTCTGTGCCTGTGCAAACAATAGCGCAGTTGGAATTTAATGTTTAAACAAGTAGCACTCAAGCCTGCAATGTTGGTACATACCAATTGATTAAATCCTGCAGTGTAATTTTAAAAGGGTCCTTCGACTTGACCATGTCGAAAATTTCGTCCTTCAGATCTTCAAAAGTGACTGCTTCTGCATTAACGGCATTTATTTGCTCTTGTATGCCTTTGAAGAAATAATGCAATGTTTGTGCTGTTAAATAGCCTTTGTGTTGCACATCCAGTATTCGGAAGAGGTAGTGCAGCGACTGTGGCTCATGTCGATTATCCAAAGCTAGAACAAAATCTAAAAATGTCTTGTAATCCATTTCCCCATCGAAAGTGCGGCACTCATCGAATACGCGATCAAGGAAGACCGACGTCAATGTGCCCGAACCATAACCGGCCAATTCTTGTTTGCTCAGCATGCCATTATGATCTTTATCCAAATTTAAATAGTTACCATACACAGTAAGCACCGAAGGCATTGAGAACCAATTGAGCTCTTGTGACTCTTTAGGTGCCTCCTCATCGCGCAATTCGAGCAATTCGGTTAGCAGACCTGAAGCCAGTATGTCACGTATGCGTATGCGTCCCGTATGCAGCGGATCAAGAAAAAAGAAAAACTTTTTCACGACTGTACAAACATAGAAACTTTGGAAGGAAGGCTGAACGCAACTGCTAATCTGCGCTAGCGTTGGTATGATGTCAATGATGTAATTTTCCATATCGATTTCGCGCAGGTACCCTTGACCTATTTCATCGTAAAATGATAAACCGATGCGCCCTTGCGTCAGCCACACTTTACGCATTGTATAATTGAAGATGGAAGCGATTTCTACTTTGCCTGCAAACGTTAATTTAATTTAAATTTATGCACAAAACGACTTCACTCACCAGGGTACATGGAATGGCACAACAATTTGGCATATAGACGCGCCGTCAGATATTTGCGACATTTTACACTAACAGCTTCCAGCAGCTTTAGGTAATCATCGTAGTCGATAAGTTGTTGCCCCAACGGCGTAACCTGCGTGCAATGCTTCTCCAGTAGCGTCCACAAGGCGCTTAGCTCATCGTTGTCTAGCAATTCTTGAGAACGCTTCTGCAGGAATAGTGAGTGCGCCTCTTTGCGCAGATTTTGCCGCAAGGTATTGTTTGGTGGTGGGGGCGCATGAAAAAATTTCGGTATCGTTGAATAAGTGTGATGTTGTAATTGTGCAGTGGGCTTGAGTGGCGCATCCGCATCAAAGCTGCGCAACTCTTCTTCACTTGGTTTCTGCGTGGACACATCAAGATTTTCAAATTCTTTTACAATATCCGGATCTAGTTCCATTCTTTAAATGAAGAAATTTTAAGACAAACTTTTATGTAAAAACCACTTTTATCAATGAATAAAAGTAAATAGTGAACAGCTGATTACGTCAACTATCACTAATAGAGGGTGACACACATTGTCGATCAAGGTTTGAAGCAAGCTACATTGAACAGGTAGTATCAGTAGAGCAGCTGATTTGATTTATTTTCAAATTATTTGGTCTCAAAAATGTCAAATATTTTTAATTTTTTCTCACAAAAATTCTGAATTGTTAAAATCCATTTGCATGTGACCCCTTTTTCCATACAAAACAAGCGATTGAATAGCAGCTTTTGGAACGTTCGCCCAACTCAGCAGCACAACCGTTGATTACTGGCCCTTGTAAAGGATGGATCAATGCTTCGAGAAGCAAACAAATTTACTAGCAAAGAAAGTTGCAACAATTTTTATTTTTTCCAATTTCAATTTTTTATTTTTTATAATTTTTTGTATTTCACATGGCACGCTTTGATTTAGAAGAAAAAATTCAGAACAGTTTTTGACACTTTCGATACCAGAAGCAACAACAAAATACACGCAAATGTTGTTTTTGCTCTACTGATACTACCTGTTTAATGTGCCTTGGTTTGAAGTCAAGAATTTATGTGTTTTGGCAAACGCATTGTAGCAGTCAAACTATCAGTCATATATGAGATCAATCAATCATTCAAACTGCGAAATTCATCAAGGAAATATGAAGGAAATGTCGGATGTGCCATTTTTAATATCGCACTAGCTATTATATATGATTTTATTTCATTTTAATAATATATTCCATTTTTCTGTCACGCAACAGTACTCTGGGCTAATTATGTCCCACATTATGTAACACATGTGTGTAGGCTGCGAATATTTCGCTTGACGGACTCTATTTGGTACATACTATCAGTTAAAACTTAATATGGCCGCTGACTGGCAGTCAATAACAAAAATTTTTGCCGCTGACTCTTGAATGAGGAAAACGAGCGGTCCCACGGCCAAACAGGGGGCATTCGAGCAAAACTGTCGATTTTGATCGCCAATGTGGTGAACCCATAAGCTTCGCTGCTGCTGTCGAAGTTGACTACGCAAGTGATCGTGGTGGCAACGTTCAAGGTTTGAAGCTTTGCTAACAGGGTGTTTGAAATAAAAAATTTACTAATCTATTGTATAATATAAAAAATTTTAATTTTTAATTAAATTTTTTTATTAAATTAGTTCTCGGCATCATTTATTAAATTGAAAATTAGTTGTTTATCATATTACGTTTTAGTTATAGTGTTGTCACATTTATACTTAATTTTGTGCATCACAGGCGCCTATTTACCCTCATGCCTTTTTACCTATTACTACATATTATATCATTAAAGTTGGTAGAGCCAGCTTTTCAAGATAAACGCAGTTTACGTGATCTAAGTTTAAACTTGAACTGAAAACTGGACCTAAATAAGTTCAACTACTCAATAGATATAATGGCGTGTTCCTCAACCTGGAAAATTTCATCTAAATTTGAAGGCCAACTAACTTGTATACACGGCGAATAATTAACTTCCTCATAGTTTGCAATCGATTAAAAAAGTACCTACTTAAATATTTGAAATTCACGTACATAATTTTATTAAAACTCAGCGACTAATGACATACAATTTTCCTTTTACTTACAGGTTCTAACATAAAAGTTGCGTCGGCAATACTGAACTGTATTTTAGCGCGACAGCTATGTTTCGAAGATCCCTCGTGTTCGGCTATTTTAGAAATAATACCGAGAGTATGTGGGCCTATACCAGGTATGTGGAAAGTAAATTTAAGAACTTGAAAATATAATAAATTTTTCTAATAAATAGGTATTCAATTTAGTTAAACGAACATGCTCCCAGTTCCAATTTTTTGAACTAAGGCACCAATCAGAACAAGTAAGGACAGTGCTGTCTTTGGCTATGCCGAAGGCTTCATACCTTTCGCATCACAAACTTTTACTTCAACCGATTACTGTATTCTAAATACAGTTATTTGGGAACTAAACACAATTTTTAACTTCACTGCATACACACATACATATCTGAATAATCAGTGGTACGGAATATATACACGCATCTATACATAGTATAAAGGAAAGTCGAGATTCTTTGTACGCGGTAATCTCGAAAAGTAATGAACGGATTTTGACGAGATTTTCTTTAATATACTCTGTATGGATAGGAGAGTGACCTTTTCTATTTAGAATTTTAATAGGGCTGCCACCTATCTAAAAAACTACAAGATCCGTCAAATGAAAGGGATTGGCCTCTAGAAAAGCACTAATGTCTTATTTTTTTAATAGGGTTGCCACCTGTTAAGAAAATTACTAGTTATATATTGAAGTCTAGGCGCCAGTTCTGCACCATCACTATGAAATTAAAATACTTAGGGCCAGTTTTTCAGTGCACAACCATGGTTTAAACTAAGTTTAAACGCCCGATTTGGCTGTTTTAAACTAAGATCAGCCAATCAAACGTTAGCCAGCTGTTCAATTTAAACTCAGTTTACTTAATCTAAGTTTAAACTGGCACTCAGAAACTGGCCCTTAGTCTATAGATATGAAGTAATGCATTATTTTTCTGAGTAGGGTTGCCACCTGTTTAATAACTATAAGATCTTCGCTGTTTGTTGGATGAAAAATTGAGATCCCAAACGAAAGTGCATAGTATAAACAAAAAATTGAATTTTTTTTGAGTAAGGTTGCCACCTATTCCGATTTTGCGTCCCCCAACTGTTACTTAAAAATAAATTGAATTTATAGCAGTTTTTGCATTATTCAACTTTGCGTTCAACTCAACGCAGGGTTGCACGAAAAAAAAGTTGAATGGCTAAATGTTGGCTGGCGACCAACTTTGTTGAAAGCGATTAGTTGAAAGGCCATTCAACCAAAAGTTGAATGCAAAGTTGAACAATGCAAACACCTTTTTATGGCGAATATTTTGATATTTTTTCATATTTTGATATTTTTAGCCATTCAACTTTTTTTCGTGCAACCCTGCGCTGAGTTGAACGCAAATGTTGAACGCAAAGTTGAACAATGCAAACACACTTTAATTTTTTTATCAGGTGACAACGTTTTTTTGAAAAAATAAGAAGTTATTCCACATCCACAGGCCAAGGCGTTTAAGCTAAATTTTTAGTGATGTGCTGAGTCGATACTTTTAAGTATTGATCGATACTCGGTACCGATTTCAAAAGTATCCAATACTTTCGATACTCGGTACCGAAATATTTAACTTTCTAAAAAAGCGGTCATAGGCCAAAAATATGGAAATGAAAAATGTATATGTATTTGTACATACGTATGTATGTCTGTTCGTCGCCATAATGCAGAGGAACTGTTACTTGACTGAAAAATTGTTGTTCTACATGAACCGGACGATATTATCTTTTTAGGCCCGAAAGGTTTCTTTATCTCTCAAGGTATTGTTCTCGAACCTTGGGTCTACTAAAGTGAAAACTGATAAAATAATATTTTGCTATTGCGACAAGTTCAATTTCTTTTTAGCCGATATCATATAAAATGGTATTAAAATATATTTTTTATAAACTTTAAATATATAAAGCGGCGACGGTTTAATGTAAGGAATCGGTATTGGGTACCGAAAAGGGAGTATTGGGTACCGAAATATTTTTGAAGTATTGGGTACCGACAAGTAAGCACATCACTACTTATTTTGTAAAATCGAACGAACGGTACAGATATGATATGGCGAAAAAGTTTTCGCTAAGTCCCCTTTCAGACACGTGAAGTCTTGCTTTCAAGTCTGCTCGTTCGTTGGCGAAGGAGGTGAGAAGAGAGGGGAAGAGTACAGATACATACATATGTACATAGATTACTAAAAAAAAAAAAAAGATCCACATTAACTGCAATCAACATATGAACGTACATATGTATGTACAAATGTAGACTACCGAGCACTTGAAATTAAGGAGAAGGTAGATTGCGGGATATCCTCCATGATAAAGCTTATTATCCAGCTCTTAAGAAAAGCAAAAACTCCATATAAAATGACGTACAAGAAATGGCTAAGAAATTTTCTTGAGTCAAATTTCCTTAAGGCAGTACGCAGTTCTTCAGAAATTTAGTACGCTTTCTACTACGGTTTTCTAAAGTTTTTTGTGAAAAAAGAGCACAAGGCAACCCAGGTTTGCAACAGAAATATATGCCCGTTCCATTATTTCTTGAGGAAAGAGTGAGGCAACAGGCTGTGAGGTATAAAAAATGTCAAAATTCCTTGGACACACACGCGAAATAATGGCAATTTTTTCTTGACCGTTTTCTTAAGAGTTGGATACTAAGCTTAAGAACGAAATCCCCTTCATAAAAGTTTCCATCATTTTTGAAATATTGATATTTCTTAATTAAAAAAAAATCGGCAATTTTCACCTCTTTTTTTACATGTACAAATGAAGCTATACTTTGTTAATTTTTTTCTGTAAAAGATAAAAATATTTTGCTAAGTTCATAAATTTTTTGGGGGTGGAACAGCATATTTAATATGGGGCCCGAGTTTTCTCTTCGACCTGTCTATAGATCACCAATCATGCCCGTTCTGATGTATGGCGCAGAAGCGATGTAGACATAGTCCAAACTCTCCTGCCCTGAAAGTACATATTAACCCTAGGATGAGCGACTACCTGGGAGGCGATACGTGACCCTGCTGGTCCCCGTGAATCCCCATGATTGGAGCAGATAAGGGTCATTATCTTCAAATGGCTAAATGACAGTACAGCCTAAAATTGTTGAGGCCGAAAGATGTTTTTCAACAAAAAGTTTTGTATGAAAAAGTTCAGGTCAAGATTAGAAGACTCCATTTTCAGTACTTTGCTGCTCTTACGTACACATACACGTACATTACACGTACGTATATGCTTTCAGTTATTGATTCTTTTCTGATATTCAAGTTATGTCTCAATTAAAAGATATCCTGAAATCCCGGCATCACAATTTTCCGCAAATTTCGGTATATCTATTACATATATATGTATGTATGTACGTATATACTACAGCACGGGGATAGACA